AGACACCACCAGAGTTGTACGTCTTCAACTCCTGCTGTCAGCTGATCTTGTATAAGCCAGAAACATAAGTTGTGCATGGGCAGGAGGATGTTTTAATTTTGTTATCTGGTTCACTGTGATGCACCTTCACCTCTGTAATCAGGAGGTGGTATGTTGTGTACACTGCAGTGAGGCTTGGGCCCTTGCCCAGCAATAGCATTGTACTACTGAATGATGAGAAAGGGACTTCTACTTGGAGAAGGTGCTGATGAATGCACGGCACACTTCAGAGAACAACAGCATGGCATCCACTCCTTCTCTCAAAACAGATTCTTGCTTAAAATGCTGATCAAGCTGGACAAGAGAGAGATTTAAAATAAACGCTGCCAAAAAAATTGAAAATTTGAAATCTTAAATGTGAAGATTTCAAAATTAATCAGTATAAATCTACACACAAATATCTGTATGCACCCAGAAATAGAAATTTACAGATATATATATATATATGGCTAGATATAGATATATAAACATGGATGGAAAGGCAATAGAGAAATATCAGTATAAACATCCAAAAGAAAACCTGGAGTGGTCCTAGTATGGTATTTTTCTATTTTTCTATTTTATTTCTGCTCCCCACCAAACCCCTGGCAATTTAAACTAAATAGCTAATCAAATGAGATCAAAACAGATAATGCCACCTCTGTTGGGGGTTCTGCAATAGAACTGTATCAGTTAGCTTTAACCCCTCTGGAACGGCAAGTTCCATCCACTGTGTGATAGCACTTAGTTTGCTATGCTAACAGCTCCTCTAACAGTGGGACAATTGCTTTTCTATGATCAAAAGAAAAGCTAACTGTACTGCATAAAACACAGTAAATGAAATGCAGTAAATATACATAACAGAGATTTAAGAATAAAGCATAAGATTTCTTCCTAGAAAACATCCGAGCCAGTCACTTCTTTCATGAAGGACTGGGCTTTGCATGTTTCCTCTTCTTTAATCCTCAACAAGTCTGCTAATGAGAATCTCCTGCTCATTCACAGTGGTAGTGCTGCTAACAGTGTACAAACTCCACCTTCCTCTCCAGTCGCTACACAAACACTGTGCAGAGTCAGTTCAGGAAAGACCTTTTCTATACACAGCACAGGCAAAATAGGATCATCACCCAGGTTCACACAGTTCATATGCAATGCAGAAACCGTGTGACCAAAGGAGTGTGTCCCCTCTGATAGGCATTACAGAACACACAGAAACTGTTACTCAGTTGCTCAGTCCCTTAGTTCATTAGTACATGCCCCATTCCTGGAAGTGGGGCTCTGGGGTTGGGGCTCTGAGCAACCTGATCTAAACAAAGGTGTCCCTGCCCATGGCAGGCAGGTTGGAACTAGATGATTTAAGGTTCCTCCCAATCAAACCCGTTCTGTGATGATTCTGTGATTTACATTGCCCTAAAATTCCTGACTATCTGAACTTCATTACTCAAAATGACTGGTGCACACACAAATTTTGGTAGCTCACTGATCATGTCCTGTACCAGGCCCCTTTGACTCATTCTTGATATTTAAAATTGGAGGATGATCCCCCTTCCTGGATGTTTTGTCTATTAACATTATATGATGGGAGAGAGGGAGGCATTGATCATCTATAGCTATTTCTAAATTATCTATTACTGTGGACTCCCAACCTTGCTTGAAGGTCATCAGTGTCATCGTACAACAAACACAAAATAATTCACCTGTCAGTAACACTGCTCGTTTAGCCAACAAAATGTATATCTGAGGTGGTATATCAGCACACTTACAGAGAGCCTCAGTGAAACCATGTTTTCCCCCACGCTTCTAGATCTATAGTCCACAGTCTTACTAAATAAGATAACTCAAAATGCTGGATAAAGAGCATTTAGAGCATTAAATCTTAGATCTCATAGCTTTCTCCATCTCTCCAACCATCTTGGCAAAAAGAACCCGACTAAAACAAACAGAAAAAGACTGCTTGGCTAACACACATATGCTAACAGATTTTTATTATTATTTTTTAAAACTCATTTTCAGTGTTAAATAAACTGTGGAAAAAGGATTTGATTCATGGTTGCATTAGGAATCTACTCAACCAAAGCCCCTTGTCACAAATTAAATCATAAACTAAAAGTCAAACATGATTTGTGAAATTAACATTTATCGAGGAAATACTCCCCAGCGCTGCATTGTGATTAGTCTCTGGCTTCTGAAATATCACCCATAATTCATGAGCTCCTCTGAAACCATGCCACTACTGTTACTGCTGAGATGGCATGCATGATGGAAAGGTGCTGCCACCACCAGAGAGCAATCCCTTTTTTGATGCTGGTGATAACCAGAGGTCACCATGTCTATTGCTTGGAAAAGTACATGCACACACACTTCTCAGCCCCCACACACTTGTAATACCTCACCCCTCCATAGGCACTCTCTTCCAGGTCTCAGATTTATCCAAGGCCACAGCTGTTTCTAATTCTGAACATGGAAGCTTGGCAGGAGCTCTGCATTGTGCCCTTTCTTTAAAATAGTGACTAATAAAAAATGAAACATAATTAACAGTCATTGGTTCTTTCAGAATCAGTGTCTTTCAGCAGAGGGATCTGGTGCCTTTTCAGGGGGATTCAGACAGCTTAATCTTACAGGCAAAGGAGCTACAGCAGAAAGCAGACTTAGTGATTGTTAAAGGCTAAATGGTCACTGGGAAAGCATGCTTTGGAGCCCAACATTTTTAGAAGCCAGGATATCCAGATACAGCTTAAAGATATGGGATGCTTTTCTTTTCAAGGTGATCTTCATCAGGAAGATATTTTCCTGCCAAGAAATGCAGTATTTTTTTGGAAATAATGGTGTAACACCATCCCCACTGCTCTGAGCACTAGATATTTTTCACAAGGAGTAGAACAGCCCCCAAGTCTTTTGGAATAAAGAAGGAGAAGTCAGTTCAGCTGCTGGCTGCACAGGCATCTAGAGCAATAATAAAGCTTCAGCACCTCTAAAACACATCCCCTCATGGCCTTTCTTCTGCATGTATTCATACATTGTCACTGCTGCTAAAGTATACCACACCTATCTGGAACACATCAGCTCTACACTATGTTTATGTTAAGTGTGTGCATACCTAGGATTACACAACATAGAAACAAATAAAGATCACAAAGAGGAATATTTTCTCTATCTTAATCAAAAGAAAGCCTTGGGCCTCATCCTACCCCCCCATTAAACCAGAATAGAGAAGAATGTACTTTCACCAACAGTGCCTCTCTTTTCAGGATTAAAGGAAAACTTACTCCCTGTAAAGCCTGATATTCCACTGCTACCCTTCTGCATACAGAAAAGGCTGTGTTAGATCTGGGCCTCTGTCCTCAGCTGGGGTAAACTGGGCTTCATGGACCCATGACCATTTATGCCACTGAGGACAGAGCACTGAGCATGCAGCTCTGAGAACACCTGAGCCAGCTTCCACCCAGTGCCTGCACAAGCTCTTTCTGGCAACTGCATTTCACTGTGGATGGCAGGCTCTGCCCCAAAGGAGCGTGGGGAATCCAAAAGAAATTACTGCCTGCTCTACTAAGCTAACCCTTAGGCAAAGAGGTCTCACTTCTCAGAACAGGAATTCATTGCTCCAGTAACAAGACTGGCTGAATAGTCCATAAGGGACTGTTACTTCCATTCAACACACTTTCTTTAGATAAACAGTCATTCCTTTCTTGTGTTGTGACATTAAAAAGAAGTCACGGATAGTGGCTTTTAAAAACTGTTTAACCTTCCTTTAACCACTCTCTCCTACTTGTAATAACCCGTTAAAAAGCTGGAAATAACACTAAGTTCCCTACTGGGTCACCATTTTCCATTTGGAGAACACTGATTTTTTTTCCTGTTGCACCAAGATTAATGTGGCCTGTTTGTTTGACAAGAGATCCAACATATCTAGTGCCCTAAATCAAGCTAAAATGCTTGCCTGTGGACAACATCCCTGTCTAGCACTGGAAATGATCTGGGGAGAAAAAAATCTTAAAAAAAAAAGCTTTGCTACATAACTGTTACTACTGAACCATCAGGAGACTTCACTGGCCCTTAAAACCAAAAACTTATTGATGGGGAAAATTTAAAACACTTTTAATGAGAGTTGAGGGTTTCAATGAAAACTGGTAGGCAAAGGAGGTTATCCAAATTATCCATTGTAAGTCTATTACAGCTTTGATTCAAAATGGTTCCAGATCTTACACATACAAACCTTCCTCGTCTTTTGCTGTTTGATAGAAAACATTGGTTTGTCCTCTCTCCTCCATTTTAAGTAAAAAAAGAAACAGCATATAAGTAAAGGCTCACTCCAAAGAAGACACTGAGGAGCTAGAGCATGTCCACAGAGTGACAGCAGAGCTGATGAAGGGTCTGGAGCACAAGTCTTATAAGAAGTGGCTGAGGGAGCTGGGGCTGTTTAGCCTGGAGAGGAGGATGCTCAGGGGTGACCTTATCACTCCCTACAACTACCTGAAAAGAGGCTGCAGACAGGTTGGTCTCTTGTCCCAGTTAACAAGTGACAGGATGAAGGGAAATGGCCTTAAGATGCACCAAGGGAGGTTTGGATTGGATATCAGGAAAAATTTCTTCACTGAAGGAACGGTCAGGCATTGAAACAGGCTGTCCAGGGAAATGGTGGAATGACCATCCCTGGAAATGTTCAAAAAACATGTGGAGCTGGCACCCAGGGACATGGTTTAGTGGCGAGTATGGTGGCACTGGGTTAATGGCTGGATGATGATGTTAGATATATTTTCCAATCCTAATGATTCTATGAAAGTACAGAGAAAATGAGAAAAGCCAGGGAAATAGTGAGTGTTCATTCCTCATCCAAGTACCAAATATCACACAGACACCAGCAGAGGGTGAAAACACACCTGTTCCATACTTTCAGAAATGTTACCACGTTCCAAAACCCTGATCTCCCTCCCTTCCTTCCTCCTTCCCTTCCCCTTTCTCTGGCAAAAGCCAGTAATACCTACAAATATTTTTTATTTTCGTAAACATCATGCAGCTTTAAAACGTGGGGATGTTCTATCAACTTCAGGATGGCTATTTCCCGCTCCACCTGGAAGAAAGAAAAAGAAACAAAGAAGGTTAGAAGCTTGGTCTTAGAATACATTAGATATCATCACACATTTTCTTCTCATTTATTCATTTTCCACTCCTCTTTATACGCAGAGGATATGGAAAATTGTAACAATGCATCTTATTTAGCACTCACGTAACTTAAGAAAAATTCAGTTTATTCGGTCTCAGCACTCCCTGCCCTGCAGAACAGAAAACCAGCAAAATTTCAAGGTTGAAGGAAAAGTCCCAAATCTACAACAAAAAATTAGCTGTGGGAGTTAAATGAGCATTCGAGGCTGCTCTTGCCTCACAATCCAAAGCCAATGACATATTCTCAAAGCACAGAAACTCTTAAGATGTCATGTAGGGCTCTCCTGACCTTCCACAGCCATGCATACTCAACTAATATACCCATCCTGAAGAACTTGCCATGTATGCAGGGGAGAAGACAAACAGGAATGTGAATTTATAGCTGCAGAACTGAGACACAGAAAGGGAAAGAAATATAAGAAGTGACATAAGAAGTACAAGGCACAACAAGAAATTAAACCTGATTACTGGAGATGCCAGTGTTCAGAGCCTTAAGCATAAGACTGTACTTTCTCTCAATTCCCAGTCTGTCCAAGTATGGATACTTCTAAGAGCATGTCTTCAACACGGAGTTAGCAAGTTGTGACTAAGTCGCTGTAATTAGTGCAAGCCTTATTCTCACCCAAAATTCCTATTGTGACTGCTAAGGGTATTCTTTAGAGATGGAGTCAGTGCAATTCTGAAGCTCCTGGCAAAATTGCTCTGCTGCTCAAAAGCACTGTAACCACTCTGATTTGACCTAGGCTGAGTCGAAGGGAGTTAATGTAGCACTGCGGAGACCTCAGATAAGTGAAATAAACTCTGCAACAACACAGTCAGGCACAACAAATTTCTAGGAATCCACAAAGGCAGGGAAAAGACCTAAAGAAGCAAACAAAGATAACTAGGTAGGGTTTTTTCCAGTCCTTCAAATAACTGATTGCCCTGGAGCTGCTATATTAACAAACAAAACACAAGCAAACTACAGAACCATTCCTATCTTCCTTGCAGGGATCAGATGAGTAATTAGGAACCTGCCCCAGTACACCTTTAGTTCTCGATGTCCTTTAACTTCCTGAGAGAACATCCTCTGCTAAGCCTGAACAAAGACTTTACCTGAATGTCAGTAAGATGCTCTGCAGGAAATTAGAAAAGTGGTAGTTTTCAGCACTGTGCAGAGGAGGAGGATTTCCCAGCATTCTGGTTATCACCCCAGATCTCTCTTCCTCTACAGCACCACATAAAACCATCAAAAGCAACTCTTGCACTACATCATCCTTAGCCTTCCTCACATATCAGGATGGAGGAAAGGCTATTTGTACATGTGCCAATCTAAGTCTTTCAAAGATACTTATCCCCCCTCTGCAGAGTCACAAGTCATCTGAGAGATCCACTTCCACACTTGGGATCTCTGGAAATAACTCCTTCAGAGAAGTGGGGAATGCATTTAAACACGTATGCACACAGTTCAGCACTGCCAGAACTGCTATGAATTCAGTGATACACAGTACTTGACAGTGACAGCTCTGTAGGCGTTAACTTACTCATGACCAGCACGTTAATGAAAGCCACTTATAAAAACAGGAAACAAAAGTTGGGTAGATTTCAACTGTACAGCTATTCCAACAGAAACCCAGGGGGTAGCTAGTTTATTCCATTTTTGTCTCCTCTTCAAAAAGACCTGTTGCTCTTCTCTCTTAAAAGATATGTACTGTTATTTGCACAACCCTACAACTGATAAAAGTTGGATTTGCTTCAAAAATGAGGAAAAACAAAACAGAAGGAGCACCCACTCCCATAATACACTTCCAATAGTACTGAGATTCACCATTAGCAACACGTACTGCAGCTGCTCAGAAACTGGAACTCCAACAAAATTCCCTTTGGATGGGGAAGAGCAGGTATTTCATGGGGAATGTGACCATTGCACTAGCTCTGAAAAGGATCATCTGACCATGTTCTCCCTCCTGGAGGATATCCTGCCTAGGTAAGATAAAATTCCATTCGATGTGCTGTCTAACTGCATTGGTGACTCACTTCTGAAAAACCTCTTGGTTGGTTCACTGGCAACATAAGTTCACACCAAGTGAGTGATGGATGGCAGCATCCAGTCAGGGTCCTTGCTTGGTTACTGTCCTAAAGCATGAGAACAGGCAGTGACTTATGACTACCACTTGGACAAGGGGATTCAGCTACAGCACTGCATGGCCTGTGTTCAATAATAGACAATCAGAGTAGAAAGGAAATATCTACTTTCTGCCTACAGATTCACTCTAGAAACCAATTAAAAAAGAAATAACCTGAGTTTCTTTACTTTCATCATTTTAAGTGTGCGAGTGTGGAAAGTTCTGTGCATATTTTTCACTTCTTGGGAACTAAATCCTGAGAAGAAATACAGTTTTGGAGGTCTTGATTTCAACCTCAGGGAGGTAGGAAGTATCTATCTTGATGTGCCTGGCAGCATTTCACTGCAGTGTATTCAGTTCAGTGGTGTGTTGCATCACTCTGGCGCAGGCAGCAGTCAGCTTTCCACAGTCTGCTACCTCTTCTATCTGTAAACCAAGGACAAAACTAATCTACTCATCTCAAGTAAGACTTTGTATAATCCTTCAGTGGAAGGGCATTTATGAAGGAAAAGTGTCATTACTGTACTTCTTGTAGTCCAGGACTTTACCCCAGGTAGAGGCACAAGATAGTAATGCTTGTAATTACTTTAAGATCTAGAGATTCCCAGCTCTCTAAACAGCAATTTGGTAAAGATCATCCTCAAAAATCTCATAGCAGTGTTCTGCCCTCTTTTCCCTTTGCAAGAAAGAAAACAGTTCACAGAAATATGCCACAAACCACCTTCTCAAAATTACTACTGCAGTCACTACTGATGGGTGACTCTCCCAGATCTCGTTCATTTTTCATATCTCCACAGAGAAGCCAGAAATTGATATGGCTGGACATGGACTGTAGATCTCAATAGTGATGTCACCGATGCATGCCTCAGGAGGATCTAGCAGCCATCATGTCATTAGGAAAGGACAGGTATCTGAACTCACTGGCAAAATAAGAGATGCCAGAAATAGCAGCTTTGCCTTCTTCCCCAGAGCTTTGCCAGCCCCTGGCATGCCTTTTTTGCGCAGCCCTGTGCTTGCAAGCCATGGAATGCTGTCCAGCTCCGAACTGGCAAGGACAGGGGAGTGGAGAAACCCTGCAGGGGTGTTTGCTTTAATGTACATGCAATTATCAGAAAGCAGGACAAGCTCAGAATAGCCTGTCTAGAGAGGCTCAGAGTTTGTGATAAACAGGAAACACAGAGAAACATTTGCTTAATGGATAAAAGGGAAAGGAATAAAGCGAAGCTTTGCTGTCGCACAAAAGCCACGTCACATCACAGGGTCCCAACCAAAGCCAGGGTTACCTTATGCCATGGTAGGTTACTGACTGCATCCTGAAACTGGGGGAAACAGCTGTGAAAGGCTGTGCAGGGCAAATGGAGTTGCATTGGTAACATGTAGCCGTGTGGGTACCACGCAGGTGCCAATTAGAGGCTTTAAAAATCTAGGCAGGAGGCTGATTTGACAGGATGCTCCAGTGATTCAGCTAATGACAAAGTGCAACACGAGGGCAATGCGACCCTTAGAGGGATACATGCAATACTTTGCATCCCTTTCCTCCATCTCTACTTCACTCTTATTCTCACTCAGAGGAAATCACATCTCTCTGGTTTAAGCCCATCTTGTTGGCACAGTTTTCACTGGCAACAAGCGCTCTGCTGTCTTGCCTTTCAACTCACAGGCACACAGGGTGCTAACTCAGAAGACAAGGAGGGCAGGTCAAGGGAGGCTGATAGTTTGTCTCAGTGAAGAAAGTTTCCTTTTTTCTTGCATTCATTTGCTCAATAACAATTGAGTCACTCATGACCCACGTGCTGCTTGAAAAATGAGGCTCACAGTTGCCTCATATTACTAGGCTGTATTTTATCTACCAAACCTGTGCAAGCACTAAGCAGCGAGCATTACTAGCTTTTTCTCAAAGAACACCTACAGGCAAAAAGCTGGGGGACAGCGGATGACATTTCTCCTCGGAAGCTCTGAAGTTCACCAGCAGCACACCAGAAAGCCCTCTTGTTCTCCACTGACTCCAGTAGCTCCCATATTGCTCAAAACACTGAGAAGCAAGTCTGGAGCTGCAAAAGTGTCGAGGGGCAGTAAAGTCCTGCAGGCTGCAAATGTGTCATGCTGCTTTTCCTACTCACAGAGCAAAACAGTGGAGGGATGGTAGGAGTGGTAGGTTTTCCTATGAATATCAAGCTCTCTCTAATGTTGACCCTACTTTGTTTTGAAGTAACTAATAAATACTTTTCAGAACGCATGGCTGTCCCTCAGTTACTAGAAACTCATCCAGGACATGAACTTTTTCTGAATTCAAAATTATCTAGACTCAGTACGAACTTCAAAGGATGCAGAGATTTGTCTGCTCAACTAACTCTTCAGGCTAGAACTCAGGTTGGAAACCTTGTACCAAAGCACCTACTTTCTTCAACGTCTGGCCTGCTGTACAGTAATTTGCATTTTCATGATGAGAACACAGAAAGCAGAGTAAATTACCCTGATACTTCCCTGAGTTTAAGAGGCAAAACCAAAGGTATCACAGGAATAAACTAATATTAGGTTCTCCAAAAGCTCTGTGTTCCTGCCATAACAGAAGTATCACAGCAAAAGACCTAGTATTTTATTAATTTGGTACTTATACTTTCACGGTATGTGGGACTGAAAGTTAAAAATGGTGAAAAACGCCTGGCTTTGGTGAAGACCATCTAGGGAATCTGTTTACTCTTGCCCACAATCACAGAAAAAATAGGCTACTTCTGAAATCAGAAGAGAACAGCATTAAAGTTGAAATGGCTTTATATAACAAGAAGCTGTAGGGCCTGTATGT